GTCTGTGGTTTGGTGTCCACACTAAATTCAAGGAATTGCTCAGTAATTATTTCAAATATTTTTTTTTTCTGTTCATGTCTTTCTGCTGATATTTCTGATTCATTTGTGTCACCACTTTTGTACTTCTGCAGCTCTTGAATATTCAATATTTTTTCTTTTGGCCTTTCATCTTCATTTCTCCATTTTGGAAGTTTCTACTGAGATTTTCTCATGCTCAGAGATTCTTTCCTCAGCCATGTTCAGCCTGCTTCTAAGCTCATCAAAGCCATTCTTTATTTCTGCTACAATGCTTTTGATGTCTGGCATGTCTTTGTGTTTCATTTTCTTAGCATTTATATCTACTTGCTTACATAGATCATCTGGTTTTGCATGCTGTCTACTTTACCCATTAGAGATTTTGGTACATTAACCATAGTTATTTTGAATTCCGAGTCTGGTAATTTCAACATCACTGCCATATCTGTATCTGACTCTGATACTTGCTTGGCCCCTTCACGTTAGTGGGTTTGTTTGTTGTTCTATTTTTGTTTTTGTCTTCAGTTTGCCATTTAGTATCCCAGCAATGTTTTTTTAAATAACCAGACACGTTGTCCTAGGTCAAAGGAACTGCCCTAGACGGGCTGTTGAGATGTGGCAGTAAGGGTAGGGGAAGAAAGTGTTCTACAGCCCTGTGACTTGGAATTTCACAAGCAGTTCTCATTGTCTCCATCCCTCACAGATGGCTGGAATTGGCTGGACGGGATACCTCCCTTCCCTTGATCAGTTACACACTAACAAGCCCTCAACAGATTAGGCTCTGGCTGACTTCACCTGAGGGCAGACCTTTTTAAGAATATAAATCTTTGGCATATTTTGAGACAGTTCCTGCTGCTACCTAAAGCAAGTATGGATTTTTCTCAAATGGTCACTGCAGGAACCTTGGAGAGCTCCAGACGGGAACTGGGGGCCAGGCTGATAAATGGCCCTCTGTTAGTTTTTGTCTTTCAGACTTGTCCACTGTAAGCCTCTAGCAACTTGTCAATTATAGTTTGGATTGTCCTCTGGCTCCCATTGAGGTTTCTTTTGCTTTTTCTTCTTTCCTTCCTTCCTTCCTTCTTTCTTTCTTAATGTATTTGGTTGTTACAGGGTCTCACAATACAGCTTGGACTCATAGTGATCCTCCTGTTTTTCAGCACTACACTGGGACTCTGGCTGGCTCAGCTGCCTTGGGGCAGGGCTGCCACAGCATGTGGTGCCAGGGATCAAACCAAGGTCCCTGAGCTTGCCTAAGCTTGTGTAAGCAGGCACTTGAGTTACCTGAGCTATCTCACCAGCCCCCCATTGAGGTTTCTATTCTGATAACTTATAATTCTCTCTGTTCCCTATTTTAGCTCTCCAAATCTGTGGGGGAAGCAGCTTGCCTTGTGACCTCACTTCTCTTAGAGATCTAAGAAGTGTTGCTCATATTTTTACTTTGCTTAGCTTTTTACATGTTAGAATGGAATCGTGACTTCCAAGCTTCTCACAGGCCAGGCCACAAACTAGAAATCACTATTTTTTTCCAAAAACAATTTGAAAATCCATCAACTGAATAAATCGTGTTGTATATCCATTCAAAGTAATAATATTTAGCAATAAAAAGGAATGAAGGACTGACACAAGCTGCAACATCAGTAAGCCTCCAAGATGCTAAGCACAAGATTCCAGACGCTGAAGAGCACACGCAGATGATTCCATTTATATGAAATGTTCAGAAAAGACAAATCTCTGGAGATGCAAAGTGAATTAGTGGTTTCTTGGGGCTTGCGGTGAAATAATGACCAACCAGAAATTGCCACAAGGGATCTTACCACATGACAGAAACGTTCTAGAACTAGAGTGTGCTAAAGGCCATATAATCCATTAATTTACTAAAAATTATAACGTTCTTTCCAAAAGTGACTTTGGCCACCTCAGTAAAGTTAATTTTAAAGATTTATTTGGAAAATGCAAAAGAGCTTTAAAATAAAACAAGCAATGTCTTTTATTTTTAATGACAATGACTTCAATTCTTCCTCATCTTATTCCTTTTTTTTTTTTTTTTTTTTTACTGAGTTGAAGCATTACTGGATTCCTGTAAAAGCCTTCACTGTTCATTGAAAGCATATTTCCCATAGCATTACATTTTTGCTCTTGTATGGACGCACTACATTTACTTTTCTTCTTGATTGGACAATTCAAGACCTCCTTCCCTATATATAACCCCTGTGCCCATTTTTGGAGTTAATTTCTAGAAATTAAACAATCAAGTCAAAGACATGCACATCTTCAATGCTTTGATGCATGCCTAGTAGTCATTAGCAAGGGCAGCGTGTGTAGGGCCTCCTCCCATCAGCAGTTGGGCGGGGGTCTGTTTGCCAACACCTTCATCAAAATTGTTTGTGATAGGGCTGGCCAGATAGCTCAGTGGATTAAAGCGCCTGCTTAGGCGGGTGCAGGGACCGCGGTTCTATCCCTGGTGTGCTGTGCCGGCCCCACCCCTGGGGCATGCTGAGATGGTGACTGAGACTAGGCATGGTGGCCTGTATTCCCAGCTCTTGGGAGGCTGAAAACAGGAGGATCACTACAAATCCGATCTGAGACCTCAGATCCTGTAAGACCCTGTAGACCCTGTACTAAAAACATTTTTTTAAAAAATCGTGTGTGATAATTTGATTTATGTCTTTGCCAATTAGAAAAGAAAAATGATATTTCATTGCTTATTTAAATTGATTGTGATTATTAGGGAGGTTGTACCTGCTTCCAATCATGAACAGCTTATTTATTATTATCTTATTCTGTGAAATGTCCGTCCTTTTTCTTTGCCCATTTTTATACTGGTGCGCCTGTCTTTTTTGTGGAGCTTAAGTTCTTTTTATAAAATAAAAACATCAACCTTTTACTGCTGTGTATGTTACAAATATTTTTTTCAAGGACACTGTTTGGCATTTCATGTTCTCTATGGTTGTTTTGATGTGTCGAAGTTTTATGTTATTCCTATAGAGCTAACAGAATCCTACAACTCCTGACTTTATTGACATCCTTATAAAAGCTCCTGTCACCCCAATATTATAGCATACTTACCTATATTTACTCTTGTATGGTTTTACAATATTCCCTTTCCCTTGTCCTTATTTTCTTGCTATTTATTCTTTTTATAAATTTAATCTAATTTAATTTAATTTTCATTTCATCTGGAATTTATTTTAATTTGTGAATTAAGATTAGAGTCTAACTTAAATTTCTCCAAATAATTGAATATCTGTCAGAGCACAATAAAGGAATAGTTCATCCTTTCATAGAAAGGATAATTCATCTATTCGTAGGAAATATACACTTTTATCATGTTTTAAATACCTATCTCTAGCTGAGTCTCTTTCAAAGGACTCTTGTCTCATTCTGTTGATCTATATTGTCACACACTCTTGCAATATGGTTTTATTTATTTATTTATTTGATACAGGGTCTCACTATGAAGCTCGGACTTGTAGTGATCCTCCTATCTCAGCCTCTCCAGCACTGGGATTACAGGCATGCACCACCATGCCCAGTTTCAGTGGCTAGCACAACATGCAGTACCAGGGAATAACCCCGGGTCCTTGTGCTTGCCAGCCAGGTGCTTAGACCACTGAGCTGTCTTCCCGGCCCTAATTATCTTTATATATTTTTAAATATGGCCATGCAAATCAACTTTTATCATTCCTTTGTAGACTTTTTTTGTCACTGTCTTGTATTTCTGTCTTTGAGATAAATTTTAGAGTCACTTTGCAGTGTTTTGTGGGGTTTTGTTTGTTTGTTTGGCAGAACTAGGGATTGAACTCAGGCCCTTGCACTTGTCAGGCAAGCACTTATTTTACTGAGCCATCTCCCCGGCCCCTTTAGAGTCATTTTGTCAGGTAAAAGAAAAATCCTTCCATGATTCTGATTGGAATTAAGTTAAAGTAAAAAAAATAACTTGTAGAAAATTGACACTTGACCCATACATACTATGCAGTAATACATGTCTCCTTATTTAAGTATATGTTTGTACCTCTCACCTTCTATTCGGTTTTGTCATTGTAAAGAAACCAGAATTGCACACTGTTTATTTGGTTTATTGTTTGCTATTTAATTTTTTACAGATATTATAAAGGAAATTTTTTTCTATTATGTTTTCCTACTGGTTGTCACTGATTCAGGGAAATACTATTAATTTGTGCTAACCAGTCATTTAACTGAACTCTCCTACTAGCTTTTGCTTGTGCTTATGGCTTGGGGTTATTTTAAGGGATTTTCAGAGGGATATTTATATTTGAAAATAATAATTATTCATTTCCAAAAGTTGTGCCTCTAAATACATTTTCTGTAGGTTCAGTTGGTTAGGGGTGCAGTGTGAATCTTTATCCACTTCTATTTTTCTTTAACAAGAATGTGTCTAGTGTTTCCCTAGACATTAGTGATCATGATATTGAAAGTAGATTTGACCTAAAGATACTTCAAGGAACTATCTCTCCTGGTGCTATTTTATTAAGCATTCTTAATAGCAGTAGATAATGGATTTTATCAAACGCCTGTCTGCATTTTGTGAATTGATTATATGTTTTTCTCTGTTCAACTATTGATGTAGTAGAATGATATTCATAGATTTCTTCTTATTGAGTTTGTGTTACATTCTTAGACTAAAAGTCTGTGTGGCCATGGTACATTATCGTTGTAATATTCTGGTAGATTCTACTCGCCACAATTCTATTGAGAATTTTCACAGCAGTATTAATATGTGGGTAATTTTATTTTGGGCCTGTTGGATTCTATTATCCGTAATCTGCTAGTTGGATGAAATTGACTAGATGGATTTTCGGATTCCTTAGGCCCCAGCCCAGCTTCTGCAGTTGGCAATCATCTGTAGTATTACTGGACACTGGGTGTGGCCTCGGCATTTGCTCATCCATGAGACCTCCTCAGTGAAGCGCTGAAGGATCCCCACTCCTCCTCCCTACCACAGCCATCTTACCTGTCTCCCACAGGAGGAATCTTTGAGTATGCAGATGGCCCCAACGCCCAGGTCATGAATGCCGAGGAGCACGCCTTTCGATTTTCTGCCAACATCATCAACAGGAACAGGACCTTGCTGCCTAACACGACCTTGACCTATGACATCCAGAGGATTCACTTCCATGACAGCTTTGAGGCAACCAAGAAGGGTGAGTGTGAAGCAGCTGCTGCCTGTGGCCTTCTTGAGCAGATGCACTTCCTGTCCAATCCCAGAGCTCTGGGTGGGTTTAAGGTTGGAACTTTTTCCACTTGGTCTTGGGGACCTGCTTCAGTCCCAGTTTAGCTCAAACTGTCAGTCCCCAGGACCAAGAAGAGGGTGCCCATCAGAAGTTGCCAGGCCACTGCCTGGGGCCAGAGGGACCAAAGGCAGTGAAACGTGGCTGGTGAGGGGATCATAGGGCTGGAAAGGCAGGGAGGGTTGGGGAGCTGAGACTGGCTGCAGGGTGGAGGTTGCCCAGGTCACCATTCCCTCTGCATCCAAGTAGACACCTTCAACCTTCCCTTATTGCCTTTTTAAAGTGTTATATTATTTTTAATTCATAAATAATAGTTGTAGATATTTAAGGGGTGTGACATGATGTTTTGTTACATGCATGCATTGTGGAATGATCAGATCAGAATAATTAGCATTCCACCACTTCAAGTGTTTATCATTTCTTTTAGCTATTTTAAAACATAGATTATTACTAATTACAATCATCTTGCTCTGAAAGCTTATTTTGTCTTTCACTGAAATCCCACCCAAAGTAATCAATACATAAAATACATATAAGGCAGATAATGTGTTCAAATGTGCTACACCTACTTGCCATAAAGTAAAAACAACAAAGCTGCTTTAGGGGTGCAACAGTTTGACCCTACATGCTGTAGATGACCTTTGAACTCTGTCATTGGCCTGGGTATTTGGTCTGTTTCTGTTTTGTTTTGGCTGAAGAGTAATAAGAAAATCATAACTCATAAAAATATACTGTGATAAATCCAATTAAACAATGTTCCCACACCTGAATTTTAAAAAATGAAATGAAAACAAATGTTGCGGTACATCCTCCTAATTAGACACATTTAAAATAATCCCAAGCTTCAGTGACTCAGGCTTTTAAAATACACACAAAAAGATCACTTGTGTAATATCTGAATGAGTTAGCAGTTTCCTGTGTAGCACATCACACTCTGGAGTACACAAGTGTGCTTCTTTGCTACTTTTTTATTATTTATTTATTTAATCATTTTTATATTAATTTTATTGAGAAAGAAATGGCATTGAGACAGTTTCAAAGCAGTTTAGTAGGACAGTTACAATAATTAATACATTGCATATTGTTGTCTTCATAGTAGTTATTCATAGTACAAGATGCAGATATGATATCTTGTCTAAACACTATTAGTACAAATCTTTCTTCCCACTGAACTAAGAGAAGTAGCTGTATATCTATCCTAACTATTTTTTTTCCTATTTTTATATACAGATGTATTTTTTTTCACTACAAAATGGTCCTTCATTTATATCCCCCTTTTCTGTTTACTTTTGTCAGAGATGGGTATCCCGTTGCCATTCAAATATTGTAGGTGCATGAATTCAGCAAAGTAATCCAATATAGTCCAGTAGCCCATAATAGTAGTGGGTTATCCACAGGGCTGGCAATGTCAGAAGTTGTTGACTTGAGCTTTTTACAACTCAGCATATTAATATGGCTTTACTTTTTATACCTCATTTTTATCCTCTTTGCTACTTTTTAAAGAACAGTTCACACACATGCATGCACACACACACACACACACACGTCTGCCCTCCATCCTGTCCATGGGATCCAGATCCGTGGCTTCAACCAACTGCAGATCCAAAACCAATTCAGGAAAAGTAATTACATCTGTAGTGAACATATGCAGTTTTCCCTCATTTTTTCGCCAAACAATATAGTAGCATAACACCGTATTTACATAATTTTATACTTATTAAGTATTATAAATATAATAATCCGAAGATAATTTGAAGTCTATGAGAAGGTGTGCATAAGTCATATGAAATGCTCCACCATTTTATGCGAAGGACTCGCACATCCACAGATCTTGGTATCCAGGGAGGGTCTTAGAACCAATTCCCTGCAGATGCCAAGGGAGATGGCATAGCTGAGCTGTATTTTTCCGTATACATTTGATTCAAATTTAACTTTAAGGCTTAGATAACTCTGGAAATAGCTTCCCCAGAATCCTAGATTTCCATGTAACTCAGTTTAAATGTCTCAGGTTTAAGGAATCTCATTCCCCAAATAACTAGGTCATCTCCTATAATGTGGTATCATAACCCCTTCAAAATCCTTATCACAGTTTTTAGTTGGGTAATTGTGAATTCAGTCCATTTCTCGCTGTGCCCAACACCACCAAAGAAAAGGCTTTCTCGGTAATTGATATATTCTCCTGGCACCTGGGAGACGAGCAGATGGTAATTGTTCAATGAAATGATTGCTGAATGCAGCAATGAATAGATAGTGTGAGTTCTGGATACACTGCCTGAGTATCTATCACTGTCCACTACCACTGTTGGCTGAGCCAAGGGAAGAGCATCCTTCACGTATTCTGGGAAGACTGAGATCCAACTACAGGAGATTTGTCTCTGTCTAAAGTGTTCTCAGTTTACAATCAAGAACAGCTTTTTGGGGGGTTTGCAGGTTAGCTCAGTTGTTTAAGCACCTGCTGGGGCAAACCCAGTCAGGCACAGGGGACTGTGGTTCAATCCCCAGCTCCCCATACCTTGCCAGACCTGCCCTTAAGGCAGCCTGAGCCAGCCAAAAAAAAAAGAACAGCTTTTTCCTGGGCTAGAACCCTTGATCTCTTAGACTTCCAGACATAGACCTAAAAGTGCTACCTGCAGCTGTTTCTCTTTTCCCTGCCCCTTCACAGGTAAACACCTCAGTCTAGAAAAGCAACACAGTACAGCCTGGGAGCCTTCTGTAACCTTTGAAAAAATACCCCATGCCTTAGTTTCCTGTTTCCTTGTCCATTAAATGGGTGCATCTCTGTAAAATGTATGGGACCGTGCCTGGCGCCGTGGCCAGGATCATATTTGCTATTTTTACACAGGGTTCCCTTCCTCACCACATGCTGAACCACCAAGTCAAAACCTGTCTCCTAATGCCCTGCATCTTGCCTTGGGTAGAGAGGATCCGAGGGTTTCTAGCATTCAGAGCAATGACTGCCAACACTTGAATTACAGCATCAGCTAACAGACAGACAGGGTACACCCACCCTGAATTAGTGAAGACTTGCTTCACCCATCAGCCCTCCCCCTGCTCCAGCAAGCTGCTTCCCTGCCTGTCTTCTCCTGCTCTCTTCCCAGCATGCCCTGTGGCCAACACTGCACAGTGAAATTTCCACCTTCCTGCTGAGTGCCCAGCTTTGTCCACAAAAAATGACTAAACCAAAACTGCTTAATAAAAAGGTCAGGACACAGAGCAAACACCTGGAGCCAGAACACAGAAGTCCTTGTGGGTACAACAAGACGAAGCAGCCAGCCTGGGTCTTAGTTCAAGGTTTCTTAAAATAATAATAATAATTATGGCTCCCTAGTGATGCACCTGTATCATTATATTGAGAAAATACAAAACAAAATAGAAAATAAATAAATAAGAAGGAGGGAAAAGTTAGATAAGTCTCTTAATTACCAATTCCCTTTTTTCACAAATATTTGATTATACAGTATTTGCTAATTTGTTTCACTGATACCACTAGTTGCTCTTAGCCATTGAATAAAAAGTTTTGTGCTTTGGGGGCCGGGGAGATGGCTCAGAAGAATAAGCG